GATGGCAGAAAATATCCTCGATGAAGGAAGAAATGGGATGTATCAGCCGTATCTCTTTATATAACTCAGCCATACCACAAATATCCTAATATCAAAAAGTGTAATAAAACCCAGCCGTATTGTTTATAGAAGCCAACCATAATGCTTCATATAACTCAGCCATACCACAAACAGACCCTAAAATAAAATAAAAAAGTTAATATAACCCAGCCGTATCGGTTTTGTAAGCCAGCCGTAACGCTTCATATAACTCAGCCAAACCACAAACATACCCTAATATTGAAAAATGTACTTTAATATGTTACTAGAAATTAATATTATCAATTATAGATGAATATATAATCAACAGAATGTGTATATTTCATTGAATTTACAAGTTTCGAATTGATCATGATCTTGAGGTATATGTTATCTTACAAATACTTAAAACCTTATGTGTCTATATAGGTGTTGGACGCAACAAATACAAAGTATACCATATAATTTGTTTTTTCTACCGAATTTGTGTAATTTCTTATATTTTATAATGGTAACTAAACCATAAAACCTAAATCCTAAACACTAAACCCCAAATAATACCCTAAACCCTAAAACATAAATTTATCCTAAACATAACTCAGCTGTAACATGTCAATAACTCAGCCGCAAAGTGTAACTTAATCGCGACGTTTGGTATTTTTGGGCGGGAACTAGATACTTGCGAAACACTGGGGTGGGCGGGAACATTACGCAACCATGACCCTTGATTGATTTTAATCTAAGGGTTCAAAATTCTTATTTTCTCTATCCTCACCCTTCTTATCATTGGTTAATATTTCCTTTTCAAGGATCACAATTTATGGCCATTGATTAAATGAAATCTAAAGGTCAAAAATCATTCTCTCATTTTCTTATAATTGACGGGACTTAACCGTTTCATCACTCTCTTTGACTATTTTTTTTCTTCTGAAAGACGACAAATTTGATGAGAGAGGGAGCATCAAGATGTCGAATCACCATACAAGAAGGAACATCAGGATGTCAGATCACCATACAGATATTGGAGAAAAGAAAGCTTCTTCTCTAACCAACCACCATCGAAGATGGCGACGACTACAATAGATCTGTCTCCATTTTTTTTTTTTTTTGTAGATCTATGTTGTTTATGCATATGTCTCTTGATTCCTAATCTATAGACTCGTATTTTAGTTTTTCTTTTGGTTTCTAACTTCAATTTAAGTTTGGATGATGATCTTGAACTTGTCAGAAGTTTTTTTGGTCGACTTGGTTATAAAAAAGTCGTATTGTAACCATAACTCGCCTTTGATTATAACAAAACTCAGCCATAATTTGATTATAACTTAGCTGCAACGTAGGCATAACTCAGCCGTAAAGTATGCATAACTCAGCCCTAATGTATGCTTAACTCAGCTGCAATTTGATGAGTTATAACTCAGCCGTAACGTATGCATATCTCAGCCGTAAAGTATGCATAACTCAGCCATAACGTATGCATAACTCAGCTGCAATTTGATGAGTTATAACTCAGCCGTAACGTATGCATAACTCAGCCGTAAAGTATGCATAACTCAGCCGTAACGTATATGAATGGTATAAGTCAGCCGTAACGTTCCTATAAGTCAGCCTTCAAGTGTAATTTTTTTCACGATGTTTCGTATTTTGGGCGAGAATAAATCATTAAGTCAACCCTGAACACAATATTAAAACTTCAATCTCTTCTTAAGTTTGAACCTCATATTCATATGATGCAAAATCTGAGTCATTAAACATATAAAGTTAGCTTTCAAATTCATCATCTTCTTTGTATTTTTTTTTCTTACAATTTATGGAACTTAGCTTTTTTCATTTCTCTCTTTGACTATTTATTCTTCTGCAAGACGGCGAATTCGATGGGAGAGGAAGCAACAAGATGTCATACCACCATACATGACACTGGAGGAGATGAAGCTTCTTCTCAACCGACCATCATCGAAGACGACGATTGCAGTAAATCTGTCTCAGATTTTTAATTTTTTAAAATCTATGTTTTTTAGACTCAGTTGCCGAAAAAATAATTACCAGATCCATAAGATCTAAGAGAAAGATGAAGAAGATAGATAAAAAAGATGAAGAATGAATAATAAGACTCTGCGTCTCTAACAAAAATCATTATTTTATATTTTCAATGTTTGTAATGACATGGTTAGTAAGAGTTGATGACATGGATGATGACATGGAAAATCGGTAAGTCAGCCACCAAACGAACACATAACTTAGCCTAAATAAACCAGCCATCAAGTACAACGAAAACCAGCTGAAACATGAATACTATTTCAGTAATTAATCTTTTACTAATAAATCAGCCATAATTATGATGGAAAATTATAAGTCAGCCGTATCATCAAATAAATCAGTCGTCAAACAAATGATATTCTAGTAATTAATCTTTCGCTAATAAGTCAGCCGTAATTATGTTGAGTTTACTGTTAATCCAGCCAGTTACAGCTGATTAAATATAACTCAGCCGTAACAACCTCTCATAAGTCAGCCGTAAATTTAATAATTCAGCCAAGCGATGTTCATTAACCCAGCCGGCGAAACATAACTCAGCCATGTCATAATTACAACTCAGCCGAATTTTCCAGAAATCACATCGCTGATGTATAAGTCAGCCGTAACTTATGTACGTAAATCAGCCATATTTCTGTAAGTCAGTCATCACTAACGGCTGACTTATATTCTTAAGTCAGCTAATTTCTCATAAGTCAGCCGCATTGTTTAACTCAGCCACAACGTAATAATAACCCAGCTGTAACGACATCTATAGCGCTTTACGGCTGACTTAATGAAAACACGTCAGCGATATCCTACGTGGCGCTGGATTTTTGCTTACATGGCATTAAAAAGTAATGGTATTTTTGTAAATACATTTTTTCTCATAACATAAGAAAAGAGTACACTTGGTATTTAGAAAATGACAGTAATAAAAAAAAGATTTGTATGGTTCTAGTTATTTGTCCTAAAATGTGTACTATTTGAATAAACTTATACGTGATAGTTAGTGATTCATAATTATTAAATATATATTTGTTATTTTATTCTTTTATAATATTCAGAAAACATAAAATAAGTAATAATACATAAATATAATTTGTATATAAAGTGTCCATTCTACGCAAGTTGTGAGTCTTAACCTAGTTGTTTTTTCATGGATTTCATATTAGGTCCACAGGGTTATGAGGTTTACCATAAAAAAATTCTTCTGTGATTTTTTTTGAATGGTACTTATGAGTAAGTCTACGAGTTCGGTGAGTATGTCTACGAGTTCGGATATTTCGGTTTTTGTGTTTATTTGATTTTACATAAACCTTACTGAATTATCTCAAAATAAATTTCAATTTGTTATGGTTCAGTATTCGGTTAGTTCAGTTTTTTATATAATAGTATCAATTTTTTTTTATTTCAATTAGATTTTGGTTTAATTTTGTAAACATTTTGGATAAATATGGTTAATATTTTATTTTTGGTTTGGTTTGGTTATAAATTTTTTTGAAGAAAACCAAAGTAATTGGTTGCAAACTTATTTAAAAACAAAGACATGTCAATATATTTTATGCCAGCGAATATTCTTCAAAATATTGAGTTTGCGATCTAAGAAGATTTTCAAAATATATTTTCTTTTAAAAAGAGTTTCTGCATGCTAATAAAACTCTAAACTTGAAGAAGGAATATTTTCATATATATTGTGATTGAGAATATTTAGATAACTGATAACATAAGCCAGTCAAGATTTTATATGGCCACCAATTTTACCGGTTCGATAGCAGGTTTGGATCGGTTATAAAAATAGAGTTTATATCTTAGTTCGTCTATAAGCCTCATAAGAACCCCACTAAAATGAGTTAAATCATTTTAAAAATATAATTCTTTCACCGCTCCATTTAAAAGTAGATGCACTATTAGTCCTCAGCATTCGATTTTGGTTCGGGTATATTGGTGTTTGGTTCTAGAAATTTAGGAACCGTTCTGGTTCCTACAATTTTTTTTTTGTTTCAGTTGGGTTATTTTGGTTTTTGATTTGGCTCAGTCGAAAAGTTGGGAACTGCCTAATATGAAAAACATAAATTAGTTCTAATAACGTTCTAGTTCGATTATGATTTTTTTGGGTAATTACATATTTATAGATAAAAATACCATATGACTTGGGGTTTTAAGTTTAAATATCATGTAATCATCAGGTTGTTCGGACAAAATATTAGATAATTGGGATAGTTTTTAATATTTTAAATAAAAATATTTGGGTGATTCGGTTCACAAGTAGTCTTTTTAGTATATAGTTTGAATTATAAAAGTTCAGGTATCCATTAGGTTTTAGGTTCGTTTTCAATCTTTTGGCTCCAGAGATATATGATCTGCTCGATTACTTATGTTATTAAGTTCAGTTTTGTTTTTTTTTTCAGTTTTGTACAGTCCGGTTTGCAGTTCTGAATAAATGTATCCAAACATATACACTATCTTATATAAAAATTAAATTTTAAAAAATATTTAATTTTGAAAACCAATTCGACGCTTTTCAAGTACGTATAAAAATCTAGTCACATTTTAAAATATGAAAACATGAAAGGTATATGCCAAATAATCCTTCTATATTTTTGTTCAATCACATTCTGTTTAAACTAATTATAAATTTAAAACGTGGGAGATTGATTGAAAAGTAAATAACTAACTTTTTAATGTTTATTATCTCATGGTTAGTACAATATTTGTTTTTCTGTGATTGCGTCTCCCATTTTCTTTTTTGGAGCACGTTTTCGTCTCGCATTTACATTTGCATTTTTAGGCTGATGTGTTTTGATAGATACATGAATACATACTGTGTTTTTTAAATGTAAACAAAATATTTTAGTGTACCAATGGAGGAGTTGTAACCGAAAATGGAAATGAGAAACAATGAAAGTTTTTTTGTCAATAACAATGAAGTTCTTAAATCAATAAATTAATTAGCCACAAAAATCAATAAATTAAAATGGAAAGTTTTCTAAATACGTTACCCCTACTTTGATGGAACCGCTAGGTTTGAACTCGTAGTCTACTATGTAGTCGTAGTTGCCAACCGTAATGACCATCCGGACTACAAGACTTACGTCCGGTCTCACCTCTGTGATCTGCAACAACATCTTAACATCTTAAGTAGATATAACTACTTTCACATTACTTTTCGAGAAAATAAACTACTTTCACATTATAAACCAGTCAAAGATTTGAACAGTTTACGAAGATAGATTCCATAATATGATATTATAATTTTACTACCTTGAACCCGGGAATCTCAACTTCGGTATGTCGCCACATAATGTTTCCCGTATATTTTTCAAAAATGCACATGACATTGGATACTTTTGTAGGAGTTCCATCTTGGCTTGCAAAAACACCGTCCATGAAAGCAGCATTCACGGGACAATCGGTATACGGCTCAAGAGACACGGCGGATTGGCCACAACCAAAATCACCACAGTCAAGATAAGTGATATAGTACCAATCATCACTGATTGGGTCCATGTAGGGTACGAATATCTCTGACAAATGGCCTTTATATAGGACTTGCCGATACTTATTCATGTCCATGTCAAAAATGGACGCCAGAGAGATGACGAGATCAGCTCGGACGTCAAATGACATGTGAAACTCCCAATTTGCCCATCTATTCACCACCACATCAGATCATATTAATAATTAAATATGTTTATTTTTATTTTTTTTGACAACGAACGGCTGATCTATTACTCTAGCTTGAGGTGGTCTGGGAATCCAGACCGGAATAGAACAACCAACATACATGAGTTCCCGATAAAAGGACCGGGCAGTCTTAGCTAAATATGTTTATTTTTGTATCCACAATTTATAGGTATTATTTTGGAACATTTCTTTTAGCATAATATACTTAATTTTGTATATGGACCAATAACTGTTTATATAACATGAATTGTACGACAAACAAAGTTATACCATCGATAGTGACAAATACCATAATAAAATAAAATAAAATAAATATCCTATATAAACTCATCCCACAATTCATCATATCTTCCCTATCTTCAAATAGTCTCTCTCTCTCTCTCTCTCTCTCTCTCTCTCTCTCTCTCTCTCTCTCTCTCTCTTTCTCTCTCTCTCTCTCTCTCTCTCTATCCACCTATCTTTTTCCTTTATTGATATTTCATCTTCTTTCTCTCTCTCACTCACTTTCTTCGCCATTCTCGCTCTTCTGTAACTTCTCCTCTCTCTCTCTCTCTATATATATATATATGTTTGCTATATCATGAATAAATGAATTTTAAGATATTTGATTATAATATTAATATATTCAAAAATTATATGATTTTGGTGCTAAAAATTCATATAACATTTTTTTATGATTATATGCTAGTGAAGTTTCATCTATACAATAAAGTCTTCTGAGTAAACTTCCAATCTCATGTATTTAAACTTCTAATTAATATATAAAAATTTGAAGAAAGATTTTGATGAAAAATAAATTGAAAGTATGTAAGTATATACATAATTTTAAACTATGTAAACTGAAATTTAATAAAACTGAATAGTTATGAAATAGATGAGTTAATATAGATTATTGGTAACATGTTCATGTAATGTTATTATTTTTAGGGTTTTACTTTGGATTCTTAAATATTTTTTGAAACAAAAATTTGATATATAAATGTTAATTGTATATATTAAACACTTTCTAAGTCTATTTTTATGTTTAATGAAAATTTTATTAATATATAACTCCGTTATTTGATTTTAAAGTTTAAGTCGGTCAAGAAATTATGCATTAGTAATGCATATCCAATTCACCACATTAAAAGGGTTATGTTGTACCAATCCTCAGTTGGTTCTATACTTCTATGTAAGGTACATATGTTTCTAACAAGTGACCTTTGTATTGGACTTGCCGGTATTTGTTGATGTTCATGTCGAAAATGTACGTTAGAGAGAACATAACTATTGTACAAAGTACCGATCCTGACTTGTAAAAGGCTACAATTAGAAAAAAACTGATAATAACAAAGGTTAGGTTTGAACTCAGGGTATTTAGGATCCTATTTTAACTATTAATACCACTAGACAGAAAAATATTTAACAAAATAGAACCAAAAATAATATGTATTTTTGAAGGCTAGAAGTTCATGTTTCTACAGCTTCCTATTAGGGTTGGACCTACAAAATAGGGCCTTCTTGGTGTAGCTGTATAGGTAGATTTAGGAATAGAAAAAAAATTATGATATTTAATAATTGAAAAATATTTTGATATTCAAAATTTGAATATTTTTCTAGTATTAAAATATAGTATTCAAATTCATATACATAACTAAAACATTATATTAAATAAAAAACTATAAATTATAAAAATGTAATTATAAGAAAATCTATGTATGGATTTTCATAGCATATCAAAACAATACCAAATATCCTCAGGTAGACTAGCTGACAACAAAACTAATGAATTGTATTGATGGTTTTCTATTAAACTATTCCAGAATGCTACTGTATAAATTATAATTAACAAAAAGAAAAACAATGGAATAGTATGTATAAGTTACTAGAGTTAGTTTTTTTAAAATATATAAAAAAAAGAAAGAAAAGAAATTCGTGTGACTTCAAATATTAGTTGGTAATTGCTCGACCTGACATTGTGTCCATCGATATTGAACCCAGGCCCATCAGGCTGACAAATGATGGAGTTTTGAAGCGGCGGACCAAACGGCGGTTTTAGCTTCGAGATACGAAACTCCGTTCCATTAGCCTTAGGCAAGGAACTCCTGAACCTATCCTTAAACTCCGTTACTTTCATCTTGTCCAGGTTAACCATTATCGTCAGTCCTTCAATAGGTCTAAGATACGTGTTCACAGACCCGTTCAAATAAAACGGTCTCATGCTTATAATCCTCTCCGTCTCCTCCTCACCGAACCACCCCACAGTTGCGGATGTGACCACAACCTCCGAAAAGTTCAAGCCACGTCTCCTAATGGAGCGACGGAACGGCTTTTTTTTTTTTTTTTTTTGAAAAGAACAAATACATTATATAAAAAATTATTTATGAATATTTTTTATTTTAAAACTTACAACAATATATTATATAAAAATAATTAAAAATTATAAGATTATANACGGCTTTTTTTTTTTTTTTTTTTGAAAAGAACAAATACATTATATAAAAAATTATTTATGAATATTTTTTATTTTAAAACTTACAACAATATATTATATAAAAATAATTAAAAATTATAAGATTATACAATTATACAACGACGGAACGGCTTGAATTTGACAACAAGCGCGATAGCTGCCTGCTGCTCGTCTATAGTGAGCATAGGGTAACCACAGAGCCGGTTTTGAGGGCATACCCATGAAACTTTAGCATGGGGCCCATGATTTTTCTCAAATATTTAGGGCCTATTTTTTTTTCCATTATTGTTTAATGTATCAATGTATAAATGTCGTCCGACATAAAATGTGGTGGGACCTCTTATAAAATGCAGGCACAATTACATCATATATATCATTTTATGTTAGTTAATACTTATGATAATAAACTAAAAAGGAAATTAACTGATTAGGCAATAGAATTACTTTCTTAAATTAAATTATATTTTCTTCACAATACAATTGTCTTTCATGCCTCTCTTATAGTTCTCTCATAGGTACGATAGACTAAGAACTTTATTTTAATTTTTACACCGGAAAGATTAAATAGTTTAACTAGTTGACTGAAACATTATGATCAAAAACCTTGATTATTAAAATTTGATGGATGAATTTGCAAAAAAAAATATGTTTAATAGCTGATAAACATTTACTCCTTCCGTTTCATATTAAGTATTGTTTTAGATAATTTTTTTCGTTACAAAATAAGTGTCATTTTTGGTTTTTAATGCAAAATTTATTAATTTTATTATGTAATTTATTTTTCTATTGGTTAAAATGTGGTTGGTGTATAGGTAATTGTGTTTTTATATAGGAAATATGTAAAATTAATTGTTTTCTTAATCCATGTACGTACACAACTCTAGAACAACACTTATAATAAAACAGAGGGAATATTAGTTTTGGAGATATTGTAATTTTCATTATATATTTGAATTTTTATGAATTAAGATTTATATATTATTTATGGGCCTTACTTTTTAATTTTGTATTGGACCCCATAAATCTTAGGACCGGCACTGGGTAACCGTAACCATCGCCTACGTGGATTTTGTCGGAAATAATGGCTCCAAAAGAAAAGTCAACGACGATCTCTCGGGTCTTTCCGTTATCTCGGGCGACCACAAACGCCTGACGTGGTGGTGGTTTGACGTTGTGGTCCAGTGATGAATGCCATGATAAGACTAGGGACTTGTCAGGCTCGTTGAGACCCACGTACTGGAAGGTGAACCTATATTCAGGACCAACATGGTACGTTTTGTTGATGATTTTACGGACGAGTTTGAGTTCGGTCTCAGTCAAAGAATCCAAGGGGTGAGACTGCTGGATGAAGCTTGCGGATGAGTTGACGAAAAATAAAGCAAATATTAAGATGGTGAAGTGGATTTGAGCCATTCCTTTGTGGTTTGCTGGGTCAGTCCGCGCTTCGCGCGGAATAGGTGTATATGTTGTTTAAATTTTTATTTTCGTGATTGTTCTTCTTATTTAATTTTATTCTTTTTTTGCTTAAAATTTGTTGATGTTACAATATTTAATTTCAGTTTTGATAATGTCAATAGTGATTTTGTTTGTTTAGTTTTATATCTTCTACTTTCATATATACTCTTACATTTTCACATTTATTGCGTTTTTATTCAGACTTTGCAAATATATACATATTATTTGCATAATAATTTATACTTTTTTAATCCATAACATAATTACATATATTTACATATAGTTTCTTTAATATTCTTATCATTTATGTTATTTTGTTTAATTTATTTACTTGTTATAGTCTGTATCACAATTGTTTTTTATATCTTTTTAAAATTGTTTGTTAATTTTTTGTTGTGTATCTTTAATATTTTGTTAGTTTCTTGTAACTTGAGTTTAATGATGAAATCATAAAAAAAAAACAACTGTTACTGTTAGATCCATTCTTTTTGATTTATGGACGATGCTTTGATGAAACATAAAAGAATTAATGAAAGCTAGTTCAAACAAAAACGTGAAAAGAACATTGTTAATGGATTCTATTATTTTGCATTCTTATGATTTCTTAAATATATCTCTGAAATTAAGTATTGTTTTTATACTATGTATTTTNGGACGATGCTTTGATGAAACATAAAAGAATTAATGAAAGCTAGTTCAAACAAAAACGTGAAAAGAACATTGTTAATGGATTCTATTATTTTGCATTCTTATGATTTCTTAAATATATCTCTGAAATTAAGTATTGTTTTTATACTATGTATTTTGGTTATAATATGTAGGTATCGAAATTTTAATGTTTTTATTTTTTTATTTTTCCATTTTTTAAATAGGTTTTGATTATTTATTAAGTTGTTTTGTTAATTGTTAGCAGTTTGCAGTTATTTTCTGTCAACACATATATATATATATATATATATATATATATATATATATATATATATATATTCATAAAAAATCAAACTTCAATGTAAATTCTGTGTGTAAAAGAAAAAAAAACATTCTGTGTAGAACCAGTTCGGAAAAAAAAAACTTTATGTCTAGAATGTTTTGTCGTAAGTGAAATAATACAATCGAAGGGTAAATCAGCTGTATTTATTCTATTAAAATGAACTACAACATAATACTTGCATATTTGTAAGTGATTTCTTACAGATTTTACTTTCTTTTCTAATTAATTATAACCATTTTTTATAACATTAATTATAACCATTTTATTTATTGTTTTTTCTAATTAATTCAACAACAATTGTTACAAAGTATAAAGTAGAACTTACTTTTTCTTACATTTTTTTTTCACACTTCCTAATTACTTCATTAATTGTACTTACTACATCAATTCAACATCAATTTTATGTTTTAACAAAAATAATTATTTTTTACAAAATCTGTTAGATATGAGCATCCAAGTACAAATCAATTTTTTTGGATATCGAGTTTTTTGGGCTTTAAATTAAAATCAATTCGAATGTTATAAATTTTCGAAAGGAATTTGAATCGAATCCTTCTAGATCCCGAATAGAATCGTAAAAACCAAAAAAAATATCCAAATAACTTATACATTTGAAAATATTATTAAATAATTTATAGAAAAGTAAAAAAGCAGAACCGCAACGCGGATCATGCTCTAGTTGTTAGAAAAAAGGAAGAAGCTATATTTTTAAACCCTTGTAAATGCATGAGAAGGTGTTGACTTATGTATTCAAGTTGTGTCTTCTTTGTATACTTCCGTTATCTGATTGTCATTGGTGACTCTCTCTTTCTCTCGGTACACTTTATAATCTTGTGAAAGTTAATAAAAAGTACTGAGAAACTCATCTCTTTCTCAGAATCATGTATGTAACCATAAATAACTTCTTCAAATCCAGTCACAAATTTTAACTCATGGGTTTGAACACAATGATTATGTCGGTCTGTGAATCGTCGCCGCTTGATGTTGGATCACTAAGCATCGCTTACGCTCACCAATTGTTTGACAGAATCTCTTAACCAAGTGGCTCTGTTTAGAATGCTATGTTTAATGGGTTAGCTTTTGTGATGGTCAATGCCAGAGGAATGTTTCTCTTGGAATGGTTTGATCAAGGGCTATGCTCAAGGTGGACAGGTTTTTTTTTACAACAGTGAGCAATTTTCTTGTGCGCCAGATTCTTAAAAAAAAGGTTTTAAAACATAACCATTCCATTAGTTTTCCACTAATATCAAATCGCCTAATATTGTTCCCTTCCCACCACTCTTTTTTTTTTTTTGTGCAACCCCTTCCCACCACTCTTATCATCTTCTTGCCTACAATAAATTAACTGTAATAATTTAATTTCAGATACTGGCATCTCTCTTGAACCATTCCAATTGTCTTCTATCAAAAATTCAGTTTACTTACAAATTGTTCTTTTCAAGAATGAGTAAATTTTGTTATATAGAACTCAAGCACGTTAGTGGCCGCTCTTTTATACGCCAAACAAACTTGTCTTGAGGGGATGTGATTTGTAAGTAACGCACGATGACATCGTGATAGACACAGCTAATCTTTTTAGACACAGTTGCCTAAATTATCAAATCACCCTTCATTGTTACCTAATTTTTTTACACATACCATTCGAAACTTGGCTTTGCTTAGCGAGAAGATCACATCCAAAGAAAAGTCATGACTCTGTAAAGCTACAATAACAATCATCATTAACTATAGTAAAGTGGAAAAAAATTGGTTGCTGATTTAATCGACCAGAAAATCTCTCTGATATTTCATTACAAAGCAGATAACATCAAAGCAATGCCTCCGAGCATCTCTCTGGCTGATCTGTATATTGGAACCTAAACACGATTGAAGATTATTATTTTTTGCTTAAACTGTGACCATTGCCTCACGACCGGCCAGTGGTTTTATAGTTGTAGCTGCAACCACGGTGATTTGAGTAACGGAGCTAGGCGCATTAAAGGTCACAGCATCGGTACCTGAACCCGGAAAACACAACCTTCTTCCGGCAACTGGAACACTTGTTCACTGTCTGTTGATTTATCTTAACCGACTCATGGCTTTGGCTAGTGTAGATCAAAGATTGATGGATCTCGACGTTCTTTTCAACATCGAACCAGAGTCTACACCAAAATAAGAGAGCAGCTTGCCGTCCTAATCTGCAAAAAAAATTTGTATCAATATGAATAATGAATTTTACAGGGAGAAAATCATCTATTTATAGCTGTAGATTCAGGAAACTGAAGATAATACAGAATCTATTTAGTAATTCGTGTTAAGGTTGGGAGATGAAGGAAACTAAAACGGATCAGCAACAAATAATTAAAAGAAGAAGAAATGAGATTATTCAGAGCTTGAGGAGAACGATGAACCCTAATTTCGGGTTCGAACTGAGAAGAGGTAAATGAAAGGGCCTGGCTGTTGGACTCGGGAGTTACTCTGTTTAAGTGCAAGCCCACATAATGTGAACTTTGGACGCAAAGTAAAACGCACCGTATGGACATGTGTCACTCCCTCCTTCTCTTATTTAATGACGTGGCAGAGGCAGGAGGGAGCAAACTATACTTTATATAATTAGATTATATTGCCGATTTTTCATCTTTTGTCAACTTATATAGCCGAATATTTCCTTTCCTTTTGTGTACAAATCAATTCTATTAAAACAGAATTAATTTTAATTTACTTATATCTACTCTATTAAAACAGAGTCATTCTTTTTATCTACTGATACAAGTTGTCATTTAAATTTAGACATTTTCTAGAGTGTTACAAATAATACAAGTTATATAATTGATTGAACCGCAATACTTAAATTAAACCGGTGGTTATTTATGGAATAGAGTTTTGGGTTTACTTTTGTTTTTATGATATTTAATTGTTTGGTTTTTGGGCTTAGTATTAAAGAAAAACTCCAAAAAACATTAAATAAACTTTCCACCCTAATGGATCAAAAATCAGTTACTATTTTCAGGCCCAAAAGATTTAATATTTTCAAAAAAACAAAATTATCTATTCTTAATCACTTATTTAAATCATGTACTTTATAACATGTTAATATTTTTTAGCCTAAAAATATTTAATATTTTCAACAAAACAAAATTATCTATTATTAATCACTTATTTAAATCATGTACTTTAAAACATGTTAATATTTTTTAGCCTAAAAATATTTAATATTTTCAACAAAACAAAATTATCTATTATTAATCACTTATTTAAATCATGTACTTTAAAATTAATATTTTTTATTTTAAATAACAATCACTCTATCTTGATAAATTTTAATGGTAACTTTTAAATAATTTATTGTTTTATTTTTCTTAAATAATTTACAGATTTTTAAATGTAAAGCAAAACCAAAAACCAAATTTAAAAACTAAAATCCAAAACCAAAAGCTGAAAACGCAGGTTATATTTTTTGTTTTTTTTTTAATTTACAAAATAAACTATTTCAGAAGTTTTAGAAAATTATTTTGTCATCTTTTCAGTTTTAAATTACATGTTCGGTTAATTGAGATTTGTTTGTTGGTAATATCAATTCAAACTAACTCAGCGGGTCTAAAAATTTAAAGCCCAAACCAAAAGCTGAAAATCAAAAATAGAAACTTAAAAACTAAAAACAAAAAAACAAAATTTAAAACAAAATCTAAAAATAAAAAATGAAACTAAAAACTAATGAAAAACAACTATCACCACAAATTTTGGTAAACTAATTTTATACCAAAACATTCTTTAAATTAAGACAAAACCCAATTATATAAATTTTTAATCATAAAAAATTTCTGCGCTTTTCAAGCGCGGGTCAAAATCTAGTATAGTATAAGGTTAGATCACTACATTAACTAAGTTTCTATTATTTCTATTTATACCTAACTTAATTATTATTAAGTAGATATCATTTTCTAAAATTAAGAAACTAAATAACTAATCAATTATATTTAATAATAAA